AGTAGTTAGTTAGTTAGTAGTTAGTTGTTGTTAGTTAGTTAGTTAGTTAGTTGTAGTTAGTTAGTTAGTTAGTTAGTTAGTTAGTTAGTTAGTTAGTCGTTAGTTAGTTAGTTAGTTAGTTAGTTAGTTAGTTTAGTTAGTTAGTTAGTAGTTAGTTAGTTAGTTAGTTAGTTAGTTAGTTAGTTAGTTAGTTAGTTAGTTAGTTAGTTAGTTAGTAGTTAGTTAGTTAGTTAGTTAGTTAGTTAGTTAATGCGATAGAACACTGGAAGCAATGTCTATCCAGATATTACAAATCCCATTGTTTGGAACCTTCAAATAATAACAGCAATTATAAAGCATTTTATCCTAAAACTTAACACACCAACCTCGCATTTCCAACAGATATTTTCATATTTGCCCTAACTACAAGTAAACGAAAAAAATGCATAAATGTCGAAATCTCTGTTTGTGTGTTTTTGATGCATTTCGTAAAATATGTATCAATGTATGTATGTGTGAGCGTATGTATGTAACAAGTATTCTACCACAGAGTGAGGCAATTGCAATAGCAATTGTAGTTTAATCGTACTCATAATTATGGCCAAAAATATAAAATCCAACAAAACCCCAAAAAAATTTCTTTCCCAACAAAAAAAAGGAAACCACAAGCCAACATAAATGACCATTAAAAATGTTGTTGAGATTATAACTACAATGGATTATTGCAAATGGCAGTAAGTGTTAAGCGAACAATGGCATGGTATCAGTATTATATGACCACAGACTTACACATAGAGATGCTAGTAGATGCATAATTTTTGATTCTTTTTTTTTTTAATTTTTGCCTCATAAAAGATTGCACCATAATTACCACTGAATATTTTATACATTTTCATTTTTGTAAATTTTTTCCAAATATTTATTCATTCGTTCGTTTATTCCATTTTCTATGTGGCATTAATTCTTATGCAAAAATTCTTGATTAAAATTTAGATGCAGCAAAATTATCTTTTATTGGACATTACACAATTTAGCAAATAATTAAAATGTTCATTTAAATTTTAAACACAAAAATATTTTCCTAAGAAATAAAAAGTGAAATGTCAATCATTTATATACATTATTTGCTCAACCGGTGTAATCGCGATTACATGAAAAAATTCATTTCATTTTCCATTAATTAAAATGACCTTGTTCGTGAATTTCAAAAATAAATTTTATAATTAAATTTTATACCATAACAGACGAAACTAAAATAAACAAATCTATTACTAGACTTACGTCTCGTGTTATGTAAATTAGTTTCTTTTTTGTTTATTTCCATAATAAATTGAATTTAATTCAAAACTTTTATTTTTCACACTTTAAGTGTAGCAATTTTTTTGTTTTAATTTCGAATTTCTTATTGCGCCATTAATTGCATCACAGCTCTCACTTGTTTTTCTAAACAATTGTTGTGTGTGTGTGTGTTTTTTTTTTTGTTTTGTTCTAAAAATCAAGCAAAAAAATTATTTTGACTTTAAATAAAAAAATCTTTGAACTTGATCCATGAATTCAGTGAATTAATTAATGTTTTTTAAATTGTTTTCCAAGTAGATTTTTAAAATATAAATTTTCTGTTTTAAAGTGAAGGTTTTGTTTGGTTTTACTTATTTAGAATTAGAATTGGTAATAGAGGGTAATTAACAGTCGGAAATTAGGAAATATATTGATTTATTGTTTTGTTTGCACTATGGGAATGTGAAAAATTAACTGAACAAGAGCTAAAACTGAACTAGAACTGAACTAGAACTGAACTAGAACTAGAACTGAACTAGAACTGAACTAGAACTGAACTAGAACTGAACTAGAACTGAACTAGAACTGAACTAGAACTGAACTAGAACTGAACTAGAACTGAACTAGAACTGAACTAGAACTGAACTAGAACTGAACTAGAACTGAACTAGAACTGAACTAGAACTGAACTAGAACTGAACTAGAACTGAACTAGAACTGAACTAGAACTGAACTAGAACTGAACTAGAACTGAACTAGAACTGAACTAGAACTGAACTAGAACTGAACTAGAACTGAACTAGAACTGAACTAGAACTGAACTAGAACTGAACTAGAACTGAACTAGAACTGAACTAGAACTGAACTAGAACTGAACTAGAACTGAACTAGAACGAACTAGAACTGAACTAGAACTGACTAGAACTGAACTAGAACTCGAACTAAACTGAATACTAGATTCTTGAACTGAATCTTTGAACTAGAACTTCTACACTGAACTAATGAACAGATGAATAGAATGACTAAACTGAACTAGAAGAAACTTAACATTTTTTGTCCACTTAGAACTGACTAGACTGACTTAGAACTGAACTTTAAACTTTGAACTAGAACTGACTAGTTCCCTGACCTGACAACAATAATAGAACTGACTAGACTAAGTGAACTTTAATTCGAACTAAACTGATCTTAATTTTGATTCTTTCATTCCATTATTGACTTTAAGGAAACTTACTTTGTTCCTTTTTTTTTTATTTAATTTTTGTTAGGGTTTCCCTTTTCAACAAATACGTTTAATTTAGATTAGTTTAATTAACATTACTTGCTTTAGTTTTCTCAGTTTGAAAATATTCTTATTTGAAATATCTATAAAATTATTTGCCAGTAATATTTAAGTGTATAAGTTTTGCATTTAAATCTGTAATCATAATTTTTCCACGTACTTGAACTCATTGCACATAAATATTTGCTTAATAAGTTTACCTTTTAATATTATTATGGATATATAGATTTTCTTTTATTAAACAAAATTTTAATAAACTCAATAAAAAAAGTTATTCTGAAATTATCAAAATATTTATTATTTAACACGAGCTGTATTATTTACATTCCGTTTTATTAAACAAAATTTTTGTAAACTCAATTCAAAATAAGTTATTCTGAAATAAATGGAAACAGTTATTATTTAACACGAGCTAATGTGACAACATTGTGTATCTATAAAATTATACATACATAAATGTATGCCCAGCAAAAACTTACATTGAAAAGTAAGTTATTGAAAAATAAAGTTCTGATGTTCCCACTAAAGTTGAATACTGTGCTAGAACTGAACTAGAACTGAACTAGAACTGAACTAGAACTGAACTAGAACTGAACTAGAACTGAACTAGAACTGAACTAGAACTGAACTAGAACTGAACTAGAACTGAACTAGAACTGAACTAGATAGAACTGAACTAGAACTGAACTAGAACTGAACTAGAACTGAACTAGAACTGAACTAGAACTGAACTAGAACTGAACTAGAACTGAACTAGAACTGAACTAGTACTGAACTAGAACTGAACTAGAACTGAACTAGAACTGAACTAGAACTGAACTAGAACTGAATCATCCTGGCACTCATATGATGCAGAGCAATCGATAAAACTCTCTTAAATATGATATGAGTAACAACGATCAAGTTATTCCTCAGTATCAACTTTCCAATGTAAATGCTATATTTGGTTCTAGCACTATTTGAAAGTAGCAAAAAAGGGTTTAAAGGTGGGATATTTGAAATATTTTAAAAGTGGCCGTCAATTAGTCCTTTTTAAAACATTTATATCAAAAGGGTCCCCCCCACTTGTTACACAAAAACGCCCAAAATAAATAACGCAAATTATTCATTTTATTATTATTTTTATTTCTTTTGGCATTCTCTACAGCCAAACAATGTAATTAAAACAAATAGCGCCATTTTTATTTTAAGAACAATTTTGTCTCTCAATTTTATTTATTATATTGTATTTGTTATAAAAATAGAATTATTTTTCAACAACTTGTGAGGTGTCGTTCGCAACGCATTCAAACAAATTTCTGCTGTTCGTACACACACATGTGACGACAACTGAGTGAATTTGTTTTTAAGTTTGAAAATTTTTCAAATATTTTTTTTGTTCACTAATTCTTAAATTTAACAAGGCCATTTATTTCTGGAAAATTTATTTTGTTTATATTTTTTTAGGTTTTAGAGGTCAGTAGTGAAGAATTTTTATTTGCGTGTGAAACATGTGCTACTGAAATAATAATAAGAATTTTGTAAATTTGGAAAATTAGGGGCATTTATAGGTTTTTTTTAAGTTCAATGTACTAATAGGGTGTTGTTGATTTTATGTTTTGTTTTTAAGAATTTTTTTTATAAAATTAATTTAGCCCAGACATTCGATGTTGATCGAGTGCTAAATTTTGTAAGCAATGACGTTAATTTTGTTCATGAATTTGAACTGTGGAATATTGAACTTTTGCTGGGGAGAAAGTTGTGTAAATTTTGTTGTAATAGTTTTTTACTTCCTGGTTCTCAATTTTGATAAATTTAGAAATATTATATTACTGGAAATATCTAGAGGTTTACAGAATGTTTTTAAATGCTTTCTTTATATAATATATTTTTAAATTTTAAAAATTTGATGTCTTAACTTGGGTATTAGCTTTATACTAATTTTTTTACCAACCTGTTGAGAATTATAAGCTTTAGAAAACTGGCTTTTACTTTTTCTAATAAAATCGTGTATTTTAATTTTGCTTTTCATTTAAAGTTACAATTTTATTTTCATTATAAATATTATTAAGAATTATAAATAAAAAAATTAAATAATTTTTATGAAAATATAAAACTAAAAAAATCAGCTGTCAACGTAAGATGTATAAAGTAAATTAATAAAAAAAATAATATTTTAATACAATTATAGAATTCACTAATCAAAAAAAAATGTAAACAAAAATTTTTAAAAATTATTTAAAATATTCACAGCTAAATTATAACTGTCATGGGAAATATTGAAACTGGTTTTAATAGTTAAAACAAAAAAATTATAAAATATATGCAAATATTTGTGAATTCTATAAATATAAATTAATTTTACAAAAAACAAAATATTATTTTGTTTTTTCAACTTAAAAGCTAAAATTTAGTACATAATTTTACAAATATAAAATTATTATTTTAAAAAATATATATTATATAATGATTTCTTGCTCATTTCTTTCTTAAATTCATTTCATTAATATTGTTTTGTAGACTTAAATTAAAACACAGCATATTTGACCATTTTCACAGTCTGTACCCGGTCTCATTAGAGTTTTGTGGCAACGATCCATACATTCACCCAAATGTTCTTTACAGGGACCTGGCCTTACAGGTACTGGAGTCAGTATTATTTTGTTGTTATAGTTGAAGTAGACATTGTTGTTCATTTGTTATATGAAATTAAATGGGATTATAATGGAAGGAAGAATAGAAATGCAAATAATACCAATTAGATTCTTTTTCTTTTTTTCTACTTGTTTTAGGAATTGTTTGTTTTGTGTTAATTATTTGTATTAGTATAGTGATTTTTGTCTTATTTTGTTTGGAATTTTACTATTTTTAATATGTGTTATTTTGTTGAGTGTATTAGTTATTTGATAAAAAAGTGTTGTAAGTTTAAAATAAGATCATTTGTAAGTTTATATTTTATGTTTGCTAACTTACATTCATAACAGCATTCAACACCACGTTGGGCATTTGAGGGACACAATCCTTTGTTGCTGGTGGGTTCATTACAATCGCTGCTGTGTACACACAAACCACCTACTAAAACGCATTCACGATCACCTTGATAGACTTTGACACCTTGAACCACTAGAAATTGTAGAAGAAAAGATATGTTAATACTAATAATCTTATTTAATTCTTATATTAATAGCTTTAAAATTTAATCCTCCCGTTATGACAAATCGAGTTTTCAACAGACATACATACATGGCTAGATTCCTTTAGAAACTAAAAGAGACCCAGAATATGCTTATATAGTACTTTTGTAGGTCAACAGACAGACGGACAGACATGACCGCCTTATACAGCTCCTTTCACTTCCTGTCGTTACTTTATTGAATTGTGTTATTGGCATGTAATTGTAAAATAGTTCGTTTATTATTATTATTACGATCAATCTTCGTGTCAAGGGTTGAACAGACATACTTGGCTAGATTCTCTTAGAATCTTGAGTTAGGAAAACAGACAGACAGACAGACTGACAGACGGACGGACGGACGAATGTCGAGTGCTTAACATGAACACCTGCCTTAATGGCCTTATTTCACGGTGGGTTTTTCATCCACTAGGACGGTCTACCTCGCGCCCCTTAATCCTTCTATGAAGAACTCAGGTGGCAAATTTCTGTACATGGCTGAGCCGGTCCATGTGCAAGCACTTTGCTAAAGAACTAGAGCTATCTAATCTCTTGCCATAGTAGCCCCGTTTTCGGAATGACAGGCAACATGGGATCAATCCTAATGCAAACCCCGACAAGGAAAAAGCAATCACTGGTTTAAAGTCAATAGAAGGGGCGACAAACCCCAACATCAGGTGAAATCAATCTTCCGGTATACCGGAAGGTGACCACCCTTATGATGTCATGTAAGATTGCATTATTTAAAATGCAATCCACATCAACTAATGACCCATTCCAATGCATTCCTTAACCTCTGAAAATCACGCGCAACCACACTACTGAGATGATTCTGTTGATTCGGTAACAGCACCTAGAAACATATTTGGTAGTCCGAAATATCCAGCCAATAAATCAGGTTCCCTCTGTATGTCAGATAATGTGACAAAGAATGTCAATTCGAACCAAATAATTGCCCCGACAAGTTGAGGGAACGGACCTCAACCATATGTCCTCAACCGGAGAGAGAATCCAAACACATTTGGCATTTGGATATATCAGTCCTTAAACCAACATTCTCTCCCCGCGAATTTGGGTATAAACTACAGCCACTACCTGGATCCCGAAGAAACCTCAACCAATTGACCGGATGGGACTAGGTCCTGTGTTCAACCGACCACCCGTAGTGCCAGATTATATGGCACTCTGGTTAGACCCCATGTCAAATCATTCGAAGGAAAGGCCGAGAATACATTTGGTCATCGCCAGTTTATAGTCCCGGCAGACTAGAGGTATTGGCAGCACCTCTATACCCCGGAATTGCAATACACCAAGATGGAGTTTATCATCAACGAAACATGCCCCGGGGAGGGGGTGACGGACGGACGGACGGATTGACAGACAGACAGGCAGACAGACAGACAGACGGACTGACGGACTGACAGACATGATCGCCTGATAGCATGCAGCAAAATATATATAAATTTGTGGGTCTATGGCCGGTATTTTGATATGTAACAATTGGAATGATTCGAAGCTAGATAGGAAAAATTGATGTCAACAAAGAGCTCACTTAAGAGAGACATACTCTTTTACAGAAAACTGAAAGAAGACCAAAAAAAGAAACACGAAATTTTTTAAGAAATCCATTTTTCTTTACAAAATTTTATGGAAGATTGGCTGTTGAGAAGACAGTTTCTTAAGAAAACTGCTTAGTGAAGACTATTTTCTATAAAAAAAACTGTTTAAGGAAGACAATTCTTGTTACAAGAAATTTTTTGAGGAGATAACTTTCTATAAAATGAAACTGACTTAAGAATATGATTTCTGAAGACTACTACTTACTGTCTTAAGAAGACAAAACTGTCTAGAAAAGACAATTTCTTCACGAAATTATCTTCATAAACAACTGACTTACAAAGACCCTTTTCTATATAAATCTTTTTTATATCAGAACGAAAACTGTCCGTTTCTCTGCCCGATTGTATATCCGTTCATTTATCTGTTTATTTACTTTTCAATAACTACAACATACCGACTGCATTACTTTTAAGTACTTTTATAATGACTTATACACAAAAGGAATAGTTTTAGTCTATGTGAAAACTATTATTTGACCCACAATAAAATAACTAAGCAATGGTGTTGTGAGTACGACAGTGAACGAGCAAGAGACCCAGGTTCGTATTGCGTATGGAGCATTCGTAATAAAATTAAACGTTTCTGATTGTCTGCAAAACATTTTAAAATCATGACTTAAGAAATTAGTCATAGTTGACCCAAGCCCCGATAAAAAAACATAAAAGTTTAAAAAGAAATTAAGTAAAGATTATTAGAAAATATAAAAACCGGATTTAGTTCCATTCGATTTGCAAATTTGATTGCTTTTATTGTTTCAACTCAATGATTGCCTCCCCTTTGTCGGGGACTCATTGGGTTTTACTCATTATGCCTTTCATTCCTCAAAGGAACTACTATAGCAAGAGATTGGATAGATTAAGCAAAAGTTGCTTGTTCATCATCCGGCAGAATCATGTTCTAAACCATTTGGGTGTTAGTCTTTGAAGCCATCCTTTGGAGGAGATTGATGTATCTTCACTAGTCCAACTAGTGCATACTCACGTTAAGTACATATTTGAAGAATGGATGCGAATAAGGGCATTGCCTAACGAAAGTTTAGTTCTAAATTTGATTTGGACAATTTTCAAATCCGAAAGGTCTTTGTTTGACACTGTGAGTCGGTCAACTTATGTTTAAAAAGCCATATGTTAAAAGTCTACTAATGATTTAGCGCAAATATTTTTTCCCATTACAAACATATCCCAAAATATAATCCGTAAAAAAACATATGGCATTTTAAAAAGTTTACTTTAAAAAAAGTATTATTTAAATTGCAAATTTCTTATTGCCCTTAATTACTTTTATTTAAATTTATCTTTGTTAAGATAACCTTTTCTTTCATTCAAACCGCAAAAAAAAATAAACAAAATTTTGCTTTTAAAACATTTTTTGTTTATAGTAAATTGCAAGGCGCTGACCCAATTTTCTACATATTCACTTCAGATTTAATACTTTTTACAAAAAAAAAAATGTCTTACAAAAAACAGATGCGGATTTAGTCACGAGTTTTTTTGAGTCAATAAACTGTCAATGTATGACAGATGGCTGTGTGAAGTGTCTTTTTTGTTATTTAAACTTTATCTTTAATTTTATGCAATGATTATTTGTTTCATTTATACGCAAAAATATTTGTTATATTATTATATAATTTTTAAATGAAAAGAAACCAGATTGCAAAAAATAACAAACAAAAAAATTTTAAGTTATTAGATAAATTTAAAAAAACCATTTAAGGTATTTAAGAAATATTTGAAAAAAGTTGAAGTATTGTCTTTCTTTCAATCGGATTTTTTAACATAAATTATAAACTTTGGAAGCTAAATAATATATGATTTCATGGAATAGGTGATAAGTTATCTAAAGGAATTATTTCTTTTAATTAAACTTTTTTAACATCAAGAAAATATTTTACTAAAAGCTTACAGACGGACATTTAATTGATTCAATGTAATTATTAACAATTTATTAATCATTTTGTGTTAATTTAATTGATTCAATTAAATACAGTTTTATTCAGAAACTTTATTAAGAGTCTAACTAAGAACTGAAATGACAACTTTTAATTTAAATTAAAATAGAAGAAATGATTAATATAACAAAAATATACATAGATATTTGTTTTAAGATTTAATTTATTTATAGCTCTGTTTTTGTAAGTGATTAGCATTTGAATGTAAATAGAAAAAAGTCCAAACAAACGTTTATTGAATTAATTTAAATTGAACTCTTTAGGTACGTTCGCATACAAACAATTTATCAATGCACAACAATTAGTGACAAAAATTAAGCGTTAATAGCAAAAAAAAAATAATTTTAAAATTTATTAAAAATCAAATTTACACTAAAACAAATCATCCATTTAGATTATTTTCTGAAAAAAGCTTATTTCATTCTAATTAACAAAATTTCATTTAAACAAAAATCATCTCCGAAAAGTTTCTAAATTAACACCTTTCCAAACGATTAATCGTTTGTAAATAATCGATTCATTTTTTGTTAATTTATTATGGTTTTATATATTTACAACAAGGTCATTCATTGCATTTAAACAACACTAAAAAGTAAGCAATCACGTACAAAAACGTCAAATTGTTGGACAGACAGACGGACAAATGTGATGTCAATATTAAATGATAATTTGATGTTTAATTAAATCACTTATAAACATAATACAAGGTTCATTGACTTGAATTTAGTTTATTTATTTGTTTTTAATTTAAAAAAAAAAGTTAATAAATAATCAAACTGAATGTGTTGCTAATAACATTAGTTATAAACAAAAAAATTTGTCATAAAGCCAAAATGTATTTGTAAATTACTAAGAAAAAAACTGCACTTACTTAGTGTGTAATTGTAAGAAAATATCAATGAAAAGTAATGCAGAGAGTAAAGTTAAATACATAAAGTCCCTTGATACCTAACTACAGCTATGATTGCATCAACCATAAAATTCCAGAAAATCATAATATTATGATTTTTCCTATTTTGAATACATAATTTTGCGAAATTCAGAAAAGTATTCAGCTCACTGCACAATTACTATAGTCCATAGTGTAGTCTATAGTGCAGTCTATAGTGTAGTCTATAGTGTAGTCTATAGTGTAGTCTATAGTGTAGTCTATAGTGTAGTCTATAGTGTAGTCTATAGTGTAGTCTATAGTGTAGTCTATAGTGTAATCTATAGTGTAGTCTATAGTGTAGTCTATAGTGTAATCTATAGTGTAGTCTATAGTGTAGTCTATAGTGTAGTCTAGTGTAGTCTATAGTGTAGTCTATAGTGTAGTCTATAGTGTAGTCTATAGTGTAGTGTATAGTGTATTCTAGTCTATAGTCTAGTCTATAGTCTAGTCTATAGTCTAGTTTATAGTCTAGTCTATAGTCTAGTCTATAGTCTAGTCTATAGTCTAGTCTATAGTCTAGTCTATAGTCTTGTCTATAGTCTAGTCTATAGTCTAGTCTATAGTCTAGGCTATAATCTAGTCTATAGTCTAGTCTATAGTCTAGTCTATAGTCTAGTCTATAGTCTAGTCTATAGTCTAGTCTATAGTCTAGTCTATAGTCTAGTCTATAGTCTAGTCTATAGTCTAGTCTATAGTCTAGTCTATAGTCTAGTATGTCTAGTCTATAGTCTAGTCTATAGTCTAGTCTATAGTCTAGTCTATAGTCTAGTCTATAGTCTAGTCTATAGTCTAGTCTATAAGTCTATAGTCTAGTATAGTCTAGTCTATAGTCTAGTCTATAGTCTAGTCTATAGTCTAGTCTATAGTCTAGTCTATAGTCTAGTCTATAGTCTAGTCTATAGTCTAGTCTATAGTCTAGTCTATAGTCTAGTCTATAGTCTAGTCTATAGTCTAGTCTATAGTCTAGTCTATAGTCTAGTCTATAGTCTAGTCTATAGTCTAGTCTATAGTCTAGTCTATAGTCTAGTCTATAGTCTAGTCTATAGTCTAGTCTATAGTCTAGTCTATAGTCTAGTCTATAGTCTAGTCTATAGTCTAGTCTATAGTCTAGTCTATAGTCTAGTCTATAGTCTAGTCATAGTCTAGTCTATAGTCTAGTCTAGTCTAGTCTATAGTCTAGTCTATAGTCTAGTCTATAGTCTAGTCTATAGTCTAGTCTATAGTCTAGTCTATAGTCTAGTCTATAGTCTAGTCTATAGTCTAGTCTATAGTCTAGTCTATAGTCTAGTCTATAGTCTAGTCTATAGTCTAGTCTATAGTCTAGTCTATAGTCTAGTCTATAGTCTAGTCTATAGTCTAGTCTATAGTCTAGTCTATAGTCTAGTCTATAGTCTAGTCTATAGTCTAGTCTATAGTCTAGTCTATAGTCTAGTCTATAGTCTAGTCTATAGTCTAGTCTATAGTCTAGTCTATAGTCTAGTCTATAGTCTAGTCTATAGTCTAGTCTATAGTCTAGTCTATAGTCTAGTCTATAGTCTAGTCTTTAGTCTAGTCTATAGTCTAGTCTATAGTCTAGTCTATAGTCTAGTCTAGTCTATAGTCTATAGTCTAGTCTATATCTAGTCTATAGTCTAGTCTATAGTCTAGTCTATAGTCTAGTCTATAGTATAGTCTATAGTCTAGTCTATAGTCTATTCTATAGTCTAGTCTATAGTCTAGTCTGTAGTCTAGTCTATAGTCTAGTCTATAGTCTAGTCTCTCTCTATCTCTTGGTCTCTCTGGGAGAGTTCTGTGTGACATTTTCCTTAAAGGATTACATATTTCATTATTTTAAATAGGCGTGGCTCTTCCAAATAAACTATAAAAATTTCTCCTAAAACCCACCATTGAGTCCAATGTGCGTCCTCTAAAAAAACTGCATACTAATCTCTTGTGATAAGAAATTGAAACATTTTAAACAAATGTTTTTTTAATATTTCTAGAAAATTGATAAGACACTTTCCATTGAAAGTAAAACGTATTATAACATCATCATCCATCTCCTCATCCACAGAACATGAATTGTAAACAACAACATTAACAAAGTTTATCAGTTTTTTACACAAAATAAAATTTAACCCAATTATCACTGCAAAAAAGCAAAATGTCAATGTCAGGGTTTTAATTGTAAAAATAAAATGCAAAATAAAAGCACCGTTTTCTTATAAAATTCAGACAAATCGATGCGTTTTTCAGATCGGTTTTCTGTTTTTTTGTTACAAATAAATTGCGCAATTGATTATAAATAAACCAAGTACTGTGCAAAAAAATTATAAAAAAAAACTTTAATATAAAAACAACTATAAATGTTATATTATTCATAATAAGTATGAATTAAATATAAAAAAAAAACAGATCAAAAGTTCAAAAACTAATAGATAATTTTAGCAAAACATCCAGCAATAAAAATACATAGTCACCATAAAAGTGATTGTATTTTGCTAGTTTTTCATAATTCATGTTTTAAGTTTAACAAAAATAATACTTCATAGATACATACTATAGGTTTCAGGAATATCATTGACTTCATTATCACTGATGTTGGCTGTGATGCATTGAATCGATATTAATGTGATCGCAATAACACCATAAATATATAAAATTGATTTGTTAGACATGTTGGTTTGTTTGTTTATAATAATTTTCTTTTCTTGATTTTTACAAAAAAAAAGTTTCTTTTAAAAATTTTCAAAATTTATTTATTATATGGAAAAATTTTTATAAAATTTTTTGGAATTTATTTAACACTTGTTTTGATCACCACGGTCTGTTTTCAACTGAATGTTCTAAATTGTTCGATGAATCTTTTTATAAAAACAACAAATATTTTTTGTGAACAACACGAAAATATAAACCACTCATCAGCAGCAGGAATAAAATAAAATTCACAATGTTTTTTGTATTTTTCTGCGTTTTTTTTTTCTTCGTATTCAAATTTGTTTTAGTTGTGTATGAATGTATAAATTTACTTTATTTCTGATTTATTTTTTTTTTTTCTGTGTGATAATTTGCGATTTTCTTTTCGTATTTAACTGCGTGAAATGTTTCGCACAACTGTCAACACAAATGTTTTTTCTTTTTTGATCAACTATTACAATCAGCTAGTCAAGTTGGTGGAACTGTTTATTGAATCTATCTAGTCAATTCATACAAAAAGAGGCAAACATTTTAGTTGTTGTATTATTATTTCTCTCGCGTACTTGTGGCGATTTGCTGTTGGTTTATGGAAAGAGAGAGTGTGATAAGAGTAAAGTACTTTTTTGGAAATTTTATTTAAAGTACTTTTTTGTGTAATAAAAAGTGATCTGTGGGAATCGATTCATAATTCTTTTATGCAAAATCAAATATTTTCACACAAAAAGCTCCTTTTCTTACAAAGTCAAATTTTACACGGAAAGGTTTAATTTTAAGCAAAAAGCCTCATATTTCAAACAAAAAAAAAATACTTTTTGACAAAAAATGGGTAAATATTTTTTAACTAAAAATAAATCTTTACACAAGCAAAGACTTTTTACATTTATTACAATAAATATACTTTTACCTAAACTCACTTTTTTCATACAATTTTTATACGAAAAGTTTCACACAAAAAGTAATCTTTTTTTTTACAAAAACTCACTTTTTACACAAAAAGTCAATTTTTACACAAAAAGTCAATTTTTACACAAAAAGTCACTTTTTACACAAAAAGTCACTTTTTACACAAAAAGTCACTTTTTACACAAAAAGTCACTTTTTACACAAAAAGTCACTTTTTACACAAAAAGTCACTTTTTACACAAAAAGTCACTTTTTACACAAAAAGTCACTTTTTACACAAAAAGTCACTTTTTACACAAAAAGTCACTTTTTACACAAAAAGCCACTTTTTACACAAAAAGCCACTTTTTACACAAAAAGTCACTTTTTACACAAAAAGTCACTTTTTACACAAAAAGTCACTTTTTACACAAAAAGTCACTTTTTACACAAAAAGTCACTTTTTACACAAAAAGTCACTTTTTACACAAAAAGTCACTTTTTACACAAAAAGTCACTTTTTACACAAAAAGTCACTTTTTACACAAAAAGTCACTTTTTACACAAAAAGTCACTTTTTACACAAAAAATTTATTTTTACACAAAAAGTAGCTTTTTACTCAAAAAAATTTTGAAACAAAACGTTCCTTTTTTTCAAAAAATTTACTTATTATATAAAAAGTGTGTTTTTACACAAAAACATAGTTAGTTAGTTAGTTAGTTAGTTAGTTAGTTAGTTTGTTAGTTAGTTAGTTAGTTAGTTATAGTTAGTTAGTTAGTTTAGTTAGTTAGTTAGTTAGTTTCGTTAGTTAGTTAGTTAGTTTAGTTCGTTTTAGTTAGTTAGTTAGTTCGTTCGTGTTAGTTAGTTAGTTAGTTCGTTCGTTAGTTTTTTTTTTTTCGTTCGTTCGTAGTTCGTTAGTTAGTTTTCGTTAGTTCGTTTTGTTAGTTCGTTCGTTCGTTCGTTCGTTCGTTCGTTCGTTCTTTTCGTTCGTTCGTTCGTTCGTTCGTTGTTCGTTCTTCGTTCGTTCGTTCGTTCGTTCGTTCGTCGTTTCGTTTCGTTCGTTCGTTCGTTTCGTTCGTTCGTTCGTTCGTTCGTTCGTTCGTTCGTTCGTTCGTTCGTTCGTTCGTTTTCGTTCGTTCGTTTCGTTCGTTCGTCGTTCGTTCGTTCGTTCGTTCGTTCGTTCGTTCGTTCGTTCGTTCGTTCGTTCGTTCGTTCGTTTCGTTTCGTTCGTTCGTTCGTTCGTTCTTCGTTCGTTCGTTCGTTCGTTCGTTCGTTCGTTCGTTCGTTTTTTTCGTTCGTTCGTTTCGTTCTTCGTTCGTTCGTTTCGTTTCGTTCGTTCGTTCGTTCGTTCGTTCGTTCGTTCGTTCGTTCGTTGTTCGTTCGTTCGTTCGTTCGTTTCGTTCGTTCGTTCGTTCGTTCGTTCGTTCGTTCGTTCGTTCGTTCGTTCGTTTTCGTTCGTTCGTTCGTTCGTTCGTTCGTTCGTTCGGTTAGTTAGTATAGTTAGTTAGTTAGTTAGTTAGTTAGTTAGTTAGTTAGTTACGTAGTTAGTTAGTTAGTTAGTTAGTTAGTTAGTTAGTTAGTTTAGGTTAGTTATTTAGTTAGTTAGTTAGTTAGTTAGTTAGTTAGTTAGTTAGTTAGTAGTTAGTTAGTTAGTTAGTTAGTTAGTTAGTTCGTTAGTAGTTAGTTAGTTAGTTAGTTAGTTAGTTAGTTAGTTAGTTAGTTAGTTAGTAGTTAGTTAGTTAGTTAGTTAGTTAGTTAGTTAGTTAGTTAGTTAGTTAGTTAGTTCGTTAGTTAGTTAGTTAGTTAGTAGTTAGTTAGTTAGTTAGTAGTTAGTTAGTTAGTTAGTTAGTTAGTTAGTTTTAGTTAATTAATTAAAAAGTACTTTTTACACAAAAGTACTTTTAACACAAAGTCTCTTCATAATATTCAATTTCACATAAAAGCCTCCCGTACATTCTTGCACCAACAATGTCCCCTTTATAGGAAATTTCTCTGTTAAATGGTCCTTTCCAGAATTTAAATAGAACTATAAAAGCTTTTAAATACTTTAACAAAAAAGTACTTTTACATATATTAAAAAAGTACCATAAATATCTATTAATCACCATCACTTCTAGTAAAATTCCCCTAAATCGTGCACAGTTTGCCAAATGTGAGAAGCTCTTTTGGTGCTGCAAAATATGATGTTCACTCTGTGATCTTGTTATCGCCTACATTTTAGCACGCTTAGCTAAATTTTATTATTATTATTTTAAATAATTTATTTTGTTTTTGTTGCTGGTGATTATTACGGTTTGTAAATAAACATTGAAATTTGTTACAAATTAATTATTGCGTTCAATTTTATGACAAGTGAAAAAAAGTAATAAAATAAATAAATTTTTACCGGTTTTAAAGTCATTTAACGAAGCATATCTGCAATATTAGCAACCAAGTCACTAGTAAAAATTGTGCACATGAAATGTAATAGTTAAAGATAAATATTTACTTGAATGCTAAAAAGATAAATGTTAATTGTATTCAGTAGTAAATCATAATTTTTGCATTTTAAATGTTTATATAATATGAGTAAGCTATGGTAATTTTTTAGAAAAAAAAAAAACTTTTTTAAATTGTTATTTTTTAAACTTTATGAGCGAACTTATAACAAAATATGTGCCTTCCACATGCTTGGAATCTATAAACAGGTGCTTTGCTTAAATAAAAATACCCCAAGTTCTAAACAAAATATAACACCTTAACATAAATATTTACCTATTCTTGCTAAACTTAACAGATTGTTTATTTAAAAAAAAAAAAAACAAATAAACGATTTATTGATTTAAAGAAAAAATCACCTTTTAATAAAAACTAAAACTAAAAAACTAGAACATAATTGAGGAAATGTTTGTAAAACGTGATTCCTATTTAATCACAAAGTTCCGAGATTTCGACTTTATAAATAAAATATGACTCAATTCGGTTCTTTAAATAAACTTATTTATTTAGACGTTATCACTTTTATATATTAATGTGAATCACAAGAAATTTTTGCAAATATTTTCATCTTTGACCTGGAATTTTTGTTTTTTTAGATTTTATTCCAATTCCTAGAATTATTCTTGCGCAGTTCTTAATCAAGTCGATCGTTATAGCTATTAAATAATTTAGATGATTTAAGCATATTGTTATGCTCAGAATACTCTAGAAATCATTGCTTTGAAAGTTTCCTTTGAAACTAGCGAACTTCTACCGATTTCGAAGTTTTCGAAATTCCAATTTTTATACTCTACTCCACTATAGTGCTGATGTAACTGCATTTGTGCTGATGTAACTCCAAAAAATATTGGTCCTATTTACATCTATCTTAAAATATACCAATCGGCTTAGAATTACTTTTGATTAAGCTCCGTCCGTCCGTCCGTCTGTCTGTGAGTCTAGGTCGCAGTTTTCAAGATATTTTGATGAAATTTGACACATATATATGCCTCTTTCAGAGACGAACTCATTTGAAAATAGTTCAAATCGATCAATTATTTCACCTAGTCCCCTTACAACCGGACCCTCCGAATATGTTAGAAATTGATCAATCTTTCTCCATAATTGAACCAAGCCCAATAAAAGGCACAATTCTATAAAAATAATTAAATCCTAACAATATGGCACAAATACTGATCTCAAAGTTATTGAAAATTCTTCACCACTTCACTTAGAATCATTTCTTTCCCATTTTGTCAAATACAAAAATTTTATAAAATTTCCATAAATGAAATTTGCTATCAAACCAATATTAGCGTTAAAAGAGTCACATGTTTACAAATGTCAACATGTAAAAATAAAAGCTTTATGTCACACAAATATTTCTTCTGTTAAATATAGCTTTGTTAATGAAAAAAACACAAAACTTGTTGTTAAAAGCTTTTTCCAAATTTCAGTGTTGGCATAACGGCATAAAATTGAAAAAAGCTTTAACTTTAACACAATGACCGTTAAATTTAAAAAAAAAAAAAAAACGTTATAAATTTTAAAGTTTAATTTTAATATGTTAATATTTATATTTAAAATTTTTTTTCATTATTTATTTAATTACGCACTTTTTTATTAAAATTATATAGAAAAATAACTCGCTAACAAAGATTTTTGTGGGATTTACCCCTTTCGTAAATTGATAAGAATTTTTAACAAAGATATACATATATTTAATATTGCTGGTATTTAGACAACCTTAACAACGATATTATTTTGTACGTGTCTGATAAGAAAACAGACAAAAAAGAAATGCTTTTTACATTATTTTTCGATCAATTGTTATAAAAAAAGGAAATACAGCAAGTAAGTACATGGTGAAGTGATTTTTTTAATAATATTAAGTAACTTGTAAAATTTAAACACATTAATGCAAATTGCAAATGGTAACTACACGACGAAATATCGATTCTTATTGATTTCAATAATACTTCCCAGTGACTTGTAAAAAGAAGATTTCTGTATCGGTATAATGCTAAAGTTTGAATCTAATCCTTTCTAAAGCATCGCTTTATACAAAGAGTTTAAAGAAGAACCAAAAGGTCTAGCCACCCCACTAGTTATATGTTAGTTCGTAAAATTACCAGAAGCTACCTCGATACTATAATTCTATCAAAACAGTTATAACTTTATTAAAACCAGAAGCAAAGTGACTAGTCTAGTCTATAGTCTAGTCTATAGTCTAGTCTATAGTCTAGTCTATAGCAGTCTATAGTCTAGTCTATAGTCTAGTCTATAGTCTAGTCTATAGTCCTAGTCTATAGTCTAGTCTATAGTCTAGTCTATAGTCTAGTCTATAGTCCTAGTCTATTAGTTCTAGTCTATAGTCTAGTCTATAGTCTAGTCTATAGTCTAGTCTATAGTCTAGTCTATAGTCTAGTCTATAGTCTAGTCTATAGTCTTTATATACTTTATTAATTTTTCATATTATTTATTATCATTATTTTTAAGTACATACTTTATTTCCTAACTAATACAAAAAAAAATAAACTTAAATACAAAATTGGTTTAAAGCACCGAAATGACAACTACTTAACTAAAAATATGCTTTAATCAGTCTTATCATTATTTAAACTTAAATACAAATACTTATGGCTATTCACTTAATACAGTAAAATGTTTAAGTACTCAGACACTTTGGAACTAGATAATACAAAAATAATGAACAAATGAATTTGACTTTAACCTTGCTAAATGATGTATAAAAGAATCCTTAAACAGCTGCTAACAACCTTTATGTTAAACTGTTTGATTTAAAGAAATGCCCTAAAATATCACAGATATTCTTTATAAGAAATGTTTCTTGAAGATTTTTTCCATTAAGGTTTTCAAAAGGAAAAAATTAGAAATTTTTGTTAAAATAAATCTCCGTTGACATTAACTTTCTAATTTTTGCAGTTCATTTATGGTATAAAAACTAATATTAGGAGTTAAGGGCAGATCATTAGCATTAGTTGTTGTTGTTGTCGTTGTTGTTGTATGGTGCTGTTATTCGTGCTGTTATTAACACCTTCTTTGGCAGCAGTTTGTTCCACCGAAAATGGTATGACAAATATGGTATTTTTACTTTGATGTTGTAATTTCATGACACTGTCATAACTGGGTGGAGCAAACTCACTGTAAGAAGGTGAGGGCGTGGGTGGTGGTATGGGTGCTTCATTTGTATTCATATTGGCATTACGTTGGGTATCACTACAACGTCTATCCGAGCAAGCCATGAGTAAAAAGAAGGCAGCCAAAGCCAAAAAAGTGGCCACATACCAAACGATCGTTATGATATCCATGGCAGTCTGTGATAATTCGTTTGATTCACGTACCGCTGTAAGGGAAAATAAATTTAAATTTAATTGAAAAATGTTTATTAAGTAAATTTTATTAATTTATTGTTAGTATTATAATAAAAAGATATTTATTAATTTATTGTTGTAAGCAACACACCCCCTTTTATATATATTTTTTTACTATGGGAATTTCATCATATTTTTCATTTAAGTCGTCATTGTTGTGAGCTAATTTTCCTTTGAAGTGTTATTATTTGAAATGAATAGATGTTTTTTATTTTATTGCATTTTTTCAGTGTTATCTTTTATTATTAGTTTAAGGTTTATTTTTAGATTTATTGTTATTTTATGTGTGTTTTTGCATTTTTATTAATTTTTAATAATATTGTTAAAACAGGTGTATTTTAAGAGGTTGTTTATTTGCCAAACCACACTTGACACAAGTATCTATGGAGGGAACAGTGTTTAATTAAGAATAAAATTTGCTAAAAATATTTAAGTTTTTATAAAAATATAAATAAAAACATCTATTGATTGTTGGGTTTACAATTTTCTACAGAGCTCTTTAAAACATTTTTGTTTCCATGGAGCGTTATATATAAGACCTAATCTATATATACTCGGTTGTAAGATCTTACAACGTTGAAAGATCTGGCAATGTACTGACACTGAAAAATTGTTAGCATCAGGTAAATTGTCACATCAGCCGGTTGTAAGAAAACCTTACAATTTTATTGCCAGACAATAAATTGTCAGTTTATACTGTTGTCAAATTGTTCTATGACAAAAGTTGCCAGATTTTATTTTAGCTGCCTATGTTCTTTTAATGTAGCATATTGCCAAAAGAAAACATTTATCTGACAATGGAGTCATACAGAGATTGCGGCATAAAGCTATCTATATTGTCAGATCTTACAACGTTGGAATATCTGACAATGTACTGACAATGAAAAATTGTCTAGTAAATTGTCACATCAGACAGTTGTTAGAAATCGTTACAATTTCATTGCCAGACAATTGTCAGACAATAGAATTTATCTACCCAGAAGTATTGTCAGTTCACAATGTTGTCAGATTGTTCTATGACAAAAGTTGTCAGATCTAATTAAGCTTCATATGTTAGTTTAATGCACCATGTTGACAATAGAAAATATTTATATTGATTATATTGTCAGATGCATAAAATTCGAACATCTGACAATAAAAATTGTCACACAATTATCTGGAAATGGCAACGTAATGTGTTTACATGATTGTTAGATGTTTGACAATATTATATTTTGCAATATATTGATAATGTTTTTTGCAGCAATGTTGTAAGTCAAAAGTTGTAGGTTCACACGGTTGTTAGACATTTTCTGACAACCGAGAATACATAGCTATATATATAGTCAGTTCGCCCGGTTTGTCTGAATTAGTTAATATACATTGGGTTGTTCTTATTGTATCTAAAAATACAAATCTGTTCTTCCCAGCTCATGGTTTATGTTGCCTGCTTTAGTATAAAATATATCATCGGATGTATGACTCCTCCGATAACTGGTTTAAAGCCCATTTTATTATGTTTCGTATAAGAAAGTTGAAATCAAAAAAGCATATATTCCCGGAGCTTTCCCATTAATTCTGTTTCTCTCTTGGGGTTACACTTACATTAGTTCAAACTTCTGCAAGGAGATCTCTCATAATCTGACATAAGCTAACGAAAAACATATATAAAAACAAACGAAGCCAATGGCAGAGAGTTGTCCATATCTTGAGGATATAACTAGACTTTCAGTGGTAACTCTTCCCAAACCCTTGTCCTAAACAAAAATTTGAGGATAAATATACTTATATCGAATAAAACTAATGCACTTTTCTACAAGTAGTAGAGTTTTTGAAACTTTACAAACACTGTTATCTACTCACTAGATTAATAAATAGCCCACTTCGTGGACCACATGCAAGCACCCTTGAACTTATATCAAGTCTGGTAAAGGTTTAGCTGTCCATACAGAGATTGCTGCATTAGCAATAAAGAGAACGTTTAAAACGTGAAAATATTCTCTAGACATGATTTCAGATCGAGTCTATCTGGATTTCGGCCGCCTAGAGACCAGATAAGTTTTACCACTCAAAATGTAGGTTTAATAAAGAGTTATGACTCTTTGGGTGTTTGCCAAATTTTTATCTCAAACCTTAATGTAATTTTATTAGGGTAATTACTAATTAGTCTTAAGAAGTAGAGATTTTGAAATCATTTCGAAAATAGGTCTGTCCGTAAGAACGCATCCCCTTAAAAGAGCAAAATATAGTCTCATCGAGAAGAGTTGTGGTGAAAATGTTTCCACGAATCTTTACATTTGTAATTTGGAATTTATAAGAAATAATTATTTTTTTAAAGATCCGATTCCGTATTATAGTCGACTATATTACTCTTTTGTGATATTTTAACATACGATTTTTGTACATTTAAGCAAAATTTTGTAAAAAAGAACACTCAGACTGATTCACAAGGAAATGAACTCTAGAAAACAAGTATGTACTTCAGTTATTTGTAAAATAATTTACAAAAGGAAAATTTACACTTTTTAGACACTTAATAGATATGTATTTTTTTGTACATGATTTTCGAAATATTTTAAGCGAACAATTTTCAATAATACATCTACTTACTGGTAACAATAATTGTTGAATTTGTATTTTCCAAATCAGCTGCAGTTGTATCCGTATAATTTGTGTCTGCTACGTAGGTTCTACTATTTGATTCCCGATACAATTGATCGAAGTTACGCTGATGATGACCGATTATAAAATGATATGCTTGTGCCTGTGTTAAAGGCAACAGAACAGTGACTACTGAAAGAAAACAATAAAAGATAGAGAAATGAGTATAAAATTAGAATGAAAAGTGCAAAATTAATTTAGTTGCAAAAAAAATTGATATTGATATTGAATGATAAAAAAAATGACAGTGAGTAAAATTAATTTTATTTTAATAATGGTTGGTGTGTGTCACTTATTCGTAACTGTCTTCTATCTTATCAATAAAAAAATTGTATTTGTTGTACTATATACACAAATTACATATTATGATTTATTTTGATTTTATTTGCAAATTGAAATTGAACAATATATATATTTTTTGTAATTTTCTCATGTTCTAAAGGGGTATTTTCTAATAATTTTTTTTATGTCGTGGCCAATATTTTCTTTTTTTCTGCTCTTTAACTGATAAGTTATCTTATTAGATATCTAATGTTCATTTTATGAATATTTGATTTTTTAATAAATGGCGTGTGACTATTTTCTAATGATTGTGGTTTTATCTTTGTTGCTATCTCTTTTTCTTTAGCGGTGAAACACCTTGACTTAGTTCTTCAAGATTTTATGGCGTATGTCGTAATACCTTCGGACTTGGTAACAAGTTCTTAGTAAAGTTTTGTTTTGATTTTTGTTGTTTGCAATATTTTTGAAGTGAAATGCGCAAATTTGTTATTTTTAAAGTATTTGTTTGAATTTGTAATTAATTTACAAGTTTAGGCTCATATAAATTTTATAATTTTCCTTAAAGAGACCCTTTTTAATTTTTATAACAGTTATTAAAAGAAAAACAAGTGCAATATTTATAGTTGTATAAAATAAATAAACACTTTTTGAAATAAGTATATTAAGTTTCGTCATACTTAACTGGTTTAGGAATCCAGTTAAAATTGGTAATCATTTCCAGAAAAATCTAATAAAATTATCAAAGCAGAATAATAGGTTATGGTTTTGATAATAGACCAACCAATACAGTGAATAAATCAGTCTAAGTTATAGACAATAGACCAGTCTAAAGTCCTGACTATAGACCAGTCTATAGTCTTGACTATAGATCACCCTATAGCCTTGACTATAGATCAATCTATAGCCTTGACTATAGATCAATCTATAGCCTTGACTATAGATCAGTCTATAGTCTTGACAGTATATCAGTCTATAGTCTTGACTATAGATCAGTCTATAGTCTTGACTATGGATCAGTTTATGGTCTTGCCTATATATTACTCTATGGTCTTCACTATAGATCAGTCTATGGTCTTGACTATAGATCAGTCTATAGTCTTGACTATAGATCAGACTATAGTCTTGACTATAGATTAGTCTATAGTATTGACTATAGATTAGTCTATAGTCTTGACTATAGATCAGTCTATAGTCTTGACTATAGATCAGTCCATAGCCTTTTCTATAGATTAGTCTATAGTCTTGACTATAGATCTGTCTATAGTCTTGACTATAGATCAGTTCATAGTCTTGACTGTAGATCAGTTCATAGTCTTGACTGTAGATCAGTCTATAGTCTTAACTATAGATCAGTCTAAACTCTTGAATATAGATCAGTCAATAGTCTTTACTATATTTTTGTCTATAGTCTTGGCTATAGATTAGTCTATAGTCTTGACTATAGATCAGTCTAAACTCTTGACTATAGATCAGTCAATAGTCTTTCATATAGATCAGTCTATAGTCTTTACTATAGATCAGTCTGTAGTCTTTACTATAGATTAGTCTATAGTCTTGACTATAGATCAGTCTATTGTCTTGACTATAGACCAGTCTATAGTCTTGACTATAGATCAGTCTATAGTCTTGACTGTAGATCAGTCTATAGTCTTGACTATAGATCAGTCTAAACTCTTAACTATAGATCAGTCAATAGTCTTGACCAATTATCAGTCTATAGTCATGACTATAGATTAGTCTATAGTCTTGACTATAGATCAGTCTATAGTCTTGACTATAGATCAGTCTGTAGTCTTGACTATAGATCAGTTTATAGTCTTGAGTATGGTCCAGTCTATAGCTTTGACTATAGATCATGACTATAGATTAGTCTATATTCTTGACTATAGATTAGTCTATAGTCTTGACTATAGATTAGTCTATAGTCTTGACTATAGATTAGTCTATAGTCTTGACTATAGATAAGTCTATAGTGTTGACTATAGATAAGTCTATAGTGTTGACTATAGAGCAGTCTATAATCTTAACTATAGATCAGTCTATAGTTTTGACTATAGATCAGTCTATAGTCTTGACTATAGATCAGTCTATAGTTTGACTGTTGATTAGTCTATAGTTTTGACTGTAGATCAGTCTATAGTCCTGACTATAGATCAGTCTATAGTCTGCACTGAAGATCAGTCTATAGTTTTGGCTATAGATGAGAAGGTATAGTCTCGACATCGAGATCAGTCCATAGTCTGCATTATAGATCAGCCTATAGTCTTGTCTATAGATCAGTCCATAGTCTTGACTATAGATCACTATATAGTCTTGACTATAGATCAGTCTATATTCTTGACTATTGATCAATTTATAGTCTTGACTATAAACCAGTCTATAGTCTTGACTATAGGCAAGTCAAAGTCTTGACTATAGACCAGTACATAGTCATGACTGTAGATCAGTCTACAGTCTTGACTATAGACTATACTATAGCACTAAAGTCTTGACAATAAATTTAAACTTATTTAAGTCTATGCCTCTAACCTTCGTCTTATGAATGAAATGTACATCGAATCAATTAAAATGTTCAAACCTATCTCTCTATATCTATTGCAAACAATTGTAAAGTGTGTTAATTAATAGAAATATTTAATATTCTAACAATTTTGATTGATTAGTAACTACCGCATTGTTTTGTCTACTTTTAAATATTATTTTTTATATATTTATGTATACATTAATTTATTATTTAATTTTTCTAATAAATTTTCAATTATTTTGTTTACAAACAATAACAACTACATATACAGTATAAACAGTAAACAATTTTTATAAATTTTCAAAAAACTAGTTAAATAATATCAAAGTAGATTTAATTCTTAACTATTTTCTCACTTTGCATTTCTCACATTTCACATGATTTTAGCACCTGATTTTATTTTTTGCAAATAACAATAGATTTTGTTTATTATTTTTTTAGAAACTGATCTCTAGATCATGTCTATGTGACCATGTAGATCAAACAATTTATTTTCTAATCAAGTTTAACTTCATTTGATTTTTAAGTGAAAAAATGTACCAAAAAATTCTCATAATGTTAATTGGTTCCTGTAATTTTTGCTTGTTTAAAATGGAAATTTTTAATTAGTTAATAAAATTAATTAATAAATTTTTTTATTGTTTGTTAAATATATAATAACATTCAAATATTTATTTGAAAAAGATATACAAATAATTTTAAATAATCAAATATTTATTATCAATTTACGGTAAATGTAAAGCAAATAACTAGTATAATTGTTTGGGTGTATATTGGGTGTTAATAGAAATCAGGGTTAAATATAGAATTTTAATTGATAGTACCTATAAATAAAATACTAATAATTGTTATATTTTTATGTACATAAATTTAATTTCTATAAGATAAACTACAGGAAATTAATAATTAAAAAAATATGTATTTTTTTAAATGGTAAATAAAAAATAAATTAAAAATTTATATAAAACTTTGGACTATAGTTAAGACTATAGACTAAACTAATGTCAGGACTATAGACTTACCTATAGACAGGACTATAGACTAGACTATAGTCAGGACCATAGACTAAACTATAGTCAGAACTATAGACTAGACTATAATTAAGACTATAGACTAGACTATAGTCAGAACATATTCTAGACAATAATCAAGACTATAGACTAGACTATAGACTAGACTATAGACTAGACTATAGACTAGACTATAGACTAGACTATAGACTAGACTATAGACTAGACTATAGACTAGACTATAGACTAGACTATAGACTAGACTATAGACTAGACTATAGACTAGACTATAGACTAGACTATAGACTAGACTATAGACTAGACTATAGACTAGACTATAGACTAGACTATAGACTAGACTATAGACTAGACTATAGACTAGACTATAGACTAGACTATAGACTAGACTATAGACTAGACTATAGACTAGACTATAGACTAGACTATAGACTAGACTATAGACTATTGACTCGACTATTGTCAGGACTGTAGACTACAATATAGTCAGGAATATAGTCTGGAATATAGTCAGGAATATAGACTAGACTATAGTCAGGACATAGAATAGACTATAGTCAGGATTATAGATTAGACTATAGTCTAGTCTATAGTCAAGAGTATAGTGTACAGTTTTCGTATAAAAATTATTTGAACCAATATACCTATATCATCACGAAGCTTAACAAAAACAATATTAACCATATATAATTGTCAAAAAAAATATATATAAGCATTTATATACCTCCCCAAAAAAAGTCCCATGTTTAAAATAATTTCTTCGTAACTCTTTATAATTTATAATATTATTGTACATTATCATAGTTCCTAAAAATTAAGCACAAAAAATAATAAACTTTATTTAAATTTACTTTATTATTTAGCAGTAAACGAGTTGTCAATACGAGTACTCACACGTATTTGCTAGAATTGTCGCGCAGTTAAATTGTCGCCATAATTCTTTATTTTCAAATGACCAAACAGTTTGTTTTTTTATTATTTAACATTAAATTATTAAGTTGTCGTTAATGAATTTTAGACCAGTTTTATAAAATTTATCTAGAACGAAATGATATATGAATCAGTTGAAATGGTGAAACAAGTAAAATAAAATTTTGTAGAAGCGGCAGACAAATGCGGTCAATGATAAATGGGGTTTCCTGTTAGAAATTAATAGCAGCTAGACAAAAACAACTGATGATGATGGTAATGACGATAGAAGTCAGTGACATATGGCAATAAGATATTTGAAAAATTATAGATATTGTGTTTAAAAAAATAAAATCATCATTTGTTCTATGTGAAAATAATTTCGTCAT